TAGTAATTAGTATTCATATTACGTCCTATGTAGTAGGTATGTGTACATAATATGTGTCCAAAATGCAAATATTTTGAATAGGTACCTTTTTATCATCATTTATTACTCAATTTTACCTATCACCATTAATTTTATAATATATTCATAGTATTTATAATAAGTATACGAGTATTATAAAATAAATATAGAAATTTTAATAAAAGATTCTCAACAAAATTTTCTACTTATAGCAAAATAAATAAGTTTAGCGTTATAAGTTTGTGCAGTTCTGTATTATTTAATTTTTAAATTTTTTTCTCGGGAAAAATAAGATTTCTATGAAGGATGCAGGGTCTAACACTTTATAGTATGACGTTTATAAGATAAACAAATTACAGTACCTAAATGCCTCTAATAGTGTTCACTAATTATTGTTCATTAAAAACAATCGTTGGTGATCGGAACACAATGAGGAAACAATATTTATAGCCAAGTGATAGTATATTATATATAAATATATTTTTTTGCTTTTAAAGTAAATATATTTAACTATAGGTAGTTATTATTTAATTATTTAATTGAATCCGACAAACTATATTAAAAAAATGTTATATTATTGTATAAAACTATTTGAAAATATTAACCCATTTAAATATTTCCTTTTTATCTCACCTAATTGGGAAAATGGTAAAAATTAGGTGTGGACCAACAAACATTCACATGCAGAATTTGTATACAAGCCTACAAACGCATGTGTATTTAAACTTTATATTGGTTTGTATTTGAGATATATTAACTTAAAATTTTGTTTTTAGAGCTATATCAAAATTTAAAATATTGATTAAAAATTGTACTTCTTGTTTTAGTGGTAAGTAATACATTTTTGATAATCAGTAACTAATCAGTTACTAATTTTTGCAATAGTATCAAGCTAGTCTTAATAAATACAAAAAGTAATGTCCTAACCAACCTAAATCTTAACAAAATATAAGTAATATCATTATGCAAAATGAAATAAATAGAATAACCAAAATTAATATTCATCACAAAATTATAAATTATAAGTATATACATTTGTTTTTTAAATCGTTACCATAAAAAAATAGAATTTATTCTTTCCATTTATTATAGTATCGAGGGAATATTTTTCCATGTAATTTACTTTTATTTAAGCAAAAAATTTAAGATTTATATTCCATTGCCAAATGTCAGGTCGTTATACGGAATTCTAATTAATTCTAATTGTTACATTTTTTAATATTATGGTTAATTTTGTTTTTAGGTAATAGAAATATAACCTTAATGTTTGCCATAGTATTAATCTAGTTAATATATTTTTAGAGGACAGCAAACCAAAAGGTAGATAAAATTCATCTAGATTATTTTGTATCTCTTTATTTAGTTTATATAAAATTACTTCTTTTAGTTGTTATTATTATAATTTTTCAGAAATCTAAACATATAATTTTAAATTCAAGGCCTTCTAACGTTATAATAATGTTATATGACAAAAATGATTGGAATTTTTAAACATAAATAAAACAGACAACGATAAATGAAACACAAAACATAATGATTTTTTTTTCTATTTATTGAAATCAATTCATTGCAACACAATTAGGCATTACCAGTGGTGGGCAAAACATAATAAACATAACAAAATATAAAGATTATTTTATTTTTATTTTATTTTATTTTACAATAAGGGACGAACCCTTTAATACATGAACATAATAGTATAATAATAATAGTAATAATAGTTTGCTTTATGGAAACGAGGCTCAATTTAGAGTGAGAATGAAGGGTCAGTGTTGGAAATGTGCATAAGACGGATGATCGGTGAGTTAAGATAGTAGTTTGAGGAAGAGAAAGGAATATGAAATGGAACAGTTGATCGTGTACGTCGGGAGGGGACATTATATGAGACACGGGATAGTGATTCAGGACTGTCAATTTTAGAGGAAAGAAGATTAGATAGAAATGATAAGTAGGCTGAATGACGAAGATCGGCGAGGCTTTCTAAGGAAAAAAGGCGTTGGATTGGCGTGTAATCATGAGGTGGACAGAATATGTTTAATTTGTAAGCAGCGTGACGGAGGAATTTTCTTTGAACCCTTTCTATCATGCTAAGGACGGGTCCCAGAGGATGGTACCAAGGATGGGACAAACTAAGAAACAGAAAAGAGTTTTTAGTGGTGTGAGCAAGTGATAGTCTGTAGAGATATGGTTTATGAAACCTAGCAGTACAACAGATTATCTGAATGTGCATATTATGGCACAGGTTCCGAGTAATAGTGAATCCTAAATCTTTTATATAATTATTACAAGTTGTTAAGGGGGTATTGTTTACGGAGTGAGTATGCTTAATTACGGCATTAATACGACAAAAAGTCATTACTGAGCATTTAGTAATATTAAGAGCTAGCCCCAAAAATTCACTCCATGTCACTAATCGCTGAAGATCGTTTTGAAGAAGGTGACAGTCAGAGATGGATTTTATATGGAAATATATTTTCATATCATCAGCAAAGATAAGAAGTTTAGCATGCCGGAGGACGGAGGTGGCTGAGTTTACGAATAGGGCAAATAGAAGAGGAGAAAGAACAGCACCTTGTGGTACACCTGAAGAGGGGGTAAAGTGGTCAGAAGAGGTGGAATCAACAGTTACCCATTAGATCCTATTTGTGATGTAAGAGTGAAGCCAGGATAGTAGAGGTTCGCCAATGCCTATAGAGTCTAGTGTTGATATCAGATGATTATGATCAATACGATCGAAATCCTTGGAGAAATCTGTGTAGATTACATCTACTTGGCAGTTATCTCGAAAAGAATTATAAATATATATGAATGAAGACTAAGGTTACAAGTAATAGTTGATCTACCAGGACGGAAGCCATGCTGCTCATCAATTAGGATATGATTCAAGGAAGAGCGAATCGAGTTAAGGACAAGGGTTTCAAATAATTTGGATAAATGAGGGAGGATAGTTATTGGACAATAGTTTGAAACATCAGTAGAATCACCAGCCTTAAGTATGGGTCTAATTGAGCCAAGTTTGAGAGCAGACGGAATGATACCTGAGTCAAAAGAACGCCTAAACAATAACCATAATGGCTCTGCTAGAACAGATCGAAGTTTGTACAAGAAATCACCCTGGATACCATCTGGACCAACATATTTTATATTGCGAAGGGAACATAAGCATTGGTAAACGTCACTAATCGAAAAATAGGCATTAGACGGGAGTGGAAAGTGGCAGGTAGGATGTAATGTTTGGGATGGAGTCGGTGAAGGCTGGGTGAACACATAAGAAAAATATGGAGCAAAAAGGTTAGTTGTGTCGGAAAGAGATGTACTTCGTAGACCATGGAGTGTAACACTTGAAGGTATAGATTGAGAAGAGCGGTTTTTTTCTAATGAAACTCCAAAAATATCGTGGGTTGCGTAGTAGGGAGGACTCGGTACTAGAGACAAAATTACGGTAGCATTGCCTGGAGATGAATTTAAATTTAGCGCCAAGAAGTGAAAAATGCTTGTAATCTGATAATAGCTGGAATGACTTAAATTTGCCATGAGCGCGAGACTTATCAAACACTAGTTCTTTGAGCTCCTTAGTGTACCACGACGGAAAAGTGGAAAGGCGAAAAGAGATTTTAGGAACAAAAGATAAAATTGAATAATGGAGAGCATCAGGGAAGACAGACATGGAATCATCTGGGGAGTATGATAGAAAGGTACGTTTCCAATTGAAATAGTTAAAGAATTTATTGATGTAGCCTGCCTTGCTAAAGTTATAAAATTATTTGAGGGGGGTAGATTGAGGGAGCATGAATGGAGAGATTTATAGAGAGTGAGAGAGGTGGATGGTAAGTGTCGGCAGGCGCGGCTGTGTCAAGAGGTTGTTTAACAGTTATGGAGCTAAGGTTAGAGAATATGAGATCGAGAAGAGAGTGGTGAGAATTTAATATGTAATTATGTTGGAAGAATCCGTGGATGACAAGTCTTTCAGGAATGGAAGTATATTCAGAGATTGTTTGAGTTAGGAAACACAGATCATGTATACGTATATCATTTGACCATGAAATAAATGGTAGATCGTAATCACCAGTGAGGATAAAACTATGGTTTGGGTATTTTTGAACAATAAAATCAATAGTATTTGGATGAGTAGTATAAAGCTCAATGGGCGACAAAGGTGGTATGTAACACTGCCAATTATAAAATTTAAGGAGTTATGAGAGAAGCGGACAAATAATTGCTCAACATTATTATTATGTATATTAAGGGGGGAAGAAGCAATGTCTTTACTCACAGCTACTAACACACCACCACCGCGATTAAAGGAGCTGGTTTGAGGAGACCTGTCGCATCTAAATATATTGTAATTATTGAGACCGAGCTCAGAAGAGTAAAAACTATTAGTGAGCCAAGTTTTCGTAAGAGCAATAAAGGCATAGTTGAAACATTAAGTATTACAATTGAAATTAACAAGTTTAGTACAAAGGCCGAGACAATTCTGGTAGTATCCATTGATGTTGTTAGTGATGGGGGTGTTGGTGTTGATTATACTTGAGGGCGATGAAGAACTCGGATGTCGTTTTTTGAATGGGAAATTACGCAAGGAGAACCGTTTTTGAACATGATGGTTAGGTTATGTTCACCTGCGGCTACACGACAATCTAATTCAACTTTCAAGGTGACAGGTACGAAGTTGTTGACGTTCTAGTAAAGTTTTGTCACGTACAATGCTGGTGAGTGGTAGAAGGACAATTTTTGGATTTTAGCTTGAGGATAGGACGTAAGAACAGCAGAAGCAGCTCCACAGGAGCCAAAGATAACTTTTAGAGGTCGAGTTAAGGTTGAGGTAGGTTTTCCAAGACGAAATCAGTGTGTATATCGGCAGAGAGATTAGAAAATATACCGCGTACAGCGAACTTATCGTAGTCTATTTTAGCAGGGAGATCGCTCGACATGGATTCGGGTAGACCATACATAATAATATTGAGCTTGCATCGATCCCGCTAGGTAAATTCCTGTAAGACATCTGAAATTTGGGTGAATAGAACAGTTGATGAATTTGGTGTGTTTGACTCTAGAGGTAGAACCTTAGATTCTAGGAGGTCGACTTTAGTACGGAGCTCAGAAATGTCGAGTGAGAGAGAATCAAATCGTGAAGTAAGAGCGTTGATACTCGTTTTGAGATCAGTACCTAAGGATTTGTGGCCAGCCAATAATTTATCTTGAGATGATTGGATACGATCAAAAGCTTTTAAGATGTCATCGTTCGAAGTGAATTTCTTAGAAGTAGTGGAAGTTGTAGAGCCCGAACGGGTGATGATTGGTGAAGGTTTGGACATAGTTTGAAGTAGACAAGTAGACGTAGAAAAAAGAATGAAGTTTTTGTTTAGTGGCAACTGGCGTGCACAATGACACGCTGTATAAGAGAAGTTTCGGTGCACACACTGTATAAGATGAGTGCAATCGGGTCGTATCTCGAATCGGTAAAAGTAATTACTGGGCGGCGCAATAACGCAGTCGTGTGACCGTTGAGCAGATAATAATATAAATAAACTTACGTATTTTCGGCGGCCGTGTATATGTACGAGGAAACCATAAATTGTGCTTGTGAAGGAGAACTTTGGGCGGACCGACACAAAATCGACACCAATCTAAGGACGGACTTATAACAAAGTAGTTAAAACAAAGTATGCGAAAAACTGGCTACTATAAACAGAAGTAAGTGCGAAAAAGTTGGGAGCGAATATTATTAGATTATACACATATGAAGGTTGTGTAATAATAATGTAATATTTACTTATTTTGAGCTGTTTGTGGACATTTTCAGTTTTAATTTTTTTTGTTTTTTTTTTTTTTTTTATGAATATCATTAAAACTTTATTTGTTTGGTAAAAAAGCGTGAAAATTTAATGCAATGCTCCTGTTATATTGTTACAATAGCAATGAAAAAATATTAAAAATACATAGCCACAACTTTTTTTTTATAAGCATTTAAATTTCATATATTGACAAAATACGTAAAAATGACCAAAATTTGGAAATTGTTTTGAGTTGAAAATTCATAAAAACTTATCTTTTTAAATCTAAGATTTGAAAATAAAATACAAGATTCCTTATAAGATTATCAACCTGTATCAAAAAAAAAAAAAATGTTTATAAGAGAGTCAAATTAAATTTTTATGAGTTTCATATCTTTACGATATTGGATATTCACTCGATTTCTCATAAAGCGATTTTGTTATTTTATTGTTATTCAAAAACGAATGACACACTCGACGTCGGTGACGAACAGGTACCTGAAGAAGGTGGCCGATGTCCGACCTCTGGTCAAGGCCATATCGTTATTTGTGTAATATCGTATGGGAGTGTTACATAATCTGTCTCGGTGAAAATTCTTCAACGGGCTAAATATTAACTCAACGTATTTTGTTAACACAGTATATTATGATCGAAAACCAAATAAAAAGCATAATATGCATTTTGTCGCGACCAGAACCAGCTGCGTTGAAAACATAGTACAATATCAACAATAAGTAGGTATAAAAACTGAATAAACAAAAGTGCTTTCAATAATTGGCGGTTCTCGCCTTTTTTAATTATTGTCTGTCGCTAAAAGTCGTAAGAAGTTATATTTTGAGAAACCCGTAAGTTTTCTCAAAAAATGTCTTCAACGTTCCAGAGGTTCCCAAACTTCTTATGGTACGACCCATTTTGGAAAGTATTAAAATTTTGGCACCCCACAGTAATCTTTTTTTTTGTGCTGAACGAATACAACATAAAAAAAGATAGTTTTACTGAAAAAAATTGATTTGAACGTCATGCAGGTACTAATTTGTTTCAAATAAATTGTTATATTTTCAATAACTATTAATTTAATTGCTTTGTGTTGATATGGTCGCAGTAAATTTGTAACTTTTACAAACGCAGATAGCGATTTATTATATAACTAAATTTAGGTAACGTAAAGTAATAGAAACACGTGTCTAAAAAATTTATCATTTAAAAATGTTCCACGAACCACTAAAAATATAATCGCGACTCACAGTTTGGGAACCTCTGCAGTAGACGCCTCTTATAGTGTTATAAAATGTGTAAAAAACAATCGTTGGTGATCTGAACACCATATTATAGGGAAACACTATTATGTAACTGCTAATATAAGTATTTTAAATAAAATACATTATGTTGATTTTAAAATAAGTATGACGAATTATTATTATTTTATTATCCAATTGAATCTGTCAAAGTATATTGAAACATACCTATTATTGATATGCGTGTATATTGTTGAAAAATACTTGAAAATATTAACTGATTAATATAGTTTTTACTTCTTACTTACCTCACCCAATTGGGAAAATGATAAAAATTCGGTCTGGACCAACAAACATTGACAAGCTGAAATTTCTGACTTATATTGTTTGTATTTAAGAGAAACTAACCTAAGCAAACAATTTTGTTTTTAGGATCGTCTGAAGAATACGAAAGTGGTGAGACTCAAAAGAAACCAAGTTTCTTGAAGAAGTTAATGAGAGCAATTTTTTGTTGTGGTTGCTGTGATGGTAATATATATTTGATAATTAGTGTTACTAATTTTTGAAATATTTTTCCCAATGATCTACTTTTATTTTAGCAAAAGATTTAAGATTTATATCCTATTGCCAAATATCAGTTTGTTAAAGGCATTATCAATTTATAATTATTGTTAAATTTTTAATATTATAGTTAATTTAGTTTTTAGATAATAGAAATTTAACATTAATTTTTTTAATAATAATAATCTAGTTTTAATTATTTTTTAGGTAGCAGCGCGGCAGGTAGATACAATTTATATAGATTCTTTTATATTTCTTTATTTATTATTATATATTATTTTTAGTTCCTATTATAATAATTTTTCAGTAATAAAAACCTTTAATTTTTAATTCAAGGTTTTTGAGCGTTATAATAATGTTAAACATGACATAAATGGTTGACATTTTTAAACTTTATTAAACAATAAATCTACCAGTTCGTTGTTAGACTCCTTATAGACTACAAGTAATCTATCGAGTTTCACGAGTTCCGAATTTAATAGCTTCCGAAAGCAGTATAGTGTACACTCACCATATCAAAGGTAATATGCTCGTTAATTATACTATTAATTAATATACGATAAACCCAGCAGGCACAAATCCATCACACTCTAAAATGTTTACAAAACCACCGGCTTTAAAAAGCCCCTCCTTTCGTCAACCAATTCAATCAAACAATGTACAAAAATAAAAAAATAAAATGTCACCAACTACTACACCCAAAACCACACTCAAACCAAATACAGTAAAAACCACATCAAATCCTAAATCACTACCTCAGTCCTCCCCAAAAACATCACCTAACGTCAACACTTCAGTCAGCTCTATCAACACGGATATCAACAAACAACCTTTCCTTAACTGTTGAAAACAGCTTAATACCCAAAAAAGACCAAGCATTATTAATCGATTTAGACGACAACGTCCCACACAATGATTACATCGTCGCTATTACAATTTAGTCCAACCATCCAACATTCTATTTGCGTCCCGTATATCAAAAGGTCGCTTATGCATTTTCCTATCAATTAGGTCATTAGTAAATAATCTAATTGATAATCAACTAATTACCACAGTATAACATCAACAGTTGAAATTACGCAAATTTTTCAATCCTAATAAAAGAATAATATTATCGAACGTATATCCCAATATACTCCCTGATATTATCGCAAAAGAATTCATCAAAATAAATATACCTCTGTGTAGCCCTATAACACCCTTAAGATCCGGTATTCAAGTTGGAGATTTTACACATATTTTAAGTTTTCGTCGACAAACGTTTATCCAACATGACCTTAGTAAACTCCCACCACCCATGCTTATAAATAACGAAGAAACCAACTACAGGATCTTTTTTATCCGATGACTCCCTAACCAGCTATTTATGTAAGGCCCAAGGTCACATTGCGTCTCCTTGCTCAAACCCGATTGATTCACACAACATAATGTCACGGTAAACAATGACCAACCCATTGCAAACACACCTTCTAAATTAGACGATTTGCCAAATACGTAAATACCCTTATAGTACCTTCCTCCACATCGGACACCAACAAATCGCTACTTGAAACACCCAATAGCGTTTCTGAGCCATCCAATCTTTCACAAACATCCTCTGCCACATCAAGACCAACACTTCAAATTTTAGATCTGACGTTGTCCCTATGGATATTGTACAACCATATGGCACTAAAAGATCTTTGCCAGATTCATTTCTTACTCACCCTGCGCCTCCATCTCCATTAGAACCGAATGAAAATTCAAACATAATGCCTGATCCACAAAACCTGGAAACAACGGTTATACGACAAAATATCTCCATTAAAAATATCTCCGTCAAAATATCTCTACCAAAATATCTCCAGTATAAAATATCTCCGTCAAAATGATCTCCAATACAAAATATCTCCCGATTTATGCCATAGCTATCTGATAGAGAAAATGTTATTGACGCTGATAGTGAGTGTACTTTGTACTTCCCTATCATGGTCCGCTTGACGCTTTCCAATACAGATTAAGTTGCAGATTGGTAATTTCATTTTAATAAAACCTAATTGATAGATAAAAATTTAGACGAGAGAGCCGGAACTGTGTCACACACTGACACTGCGTGACATTGGTTTGTGTTACGTGCATGTGCGTTAACGTACTATTACCTAAATATGCCTTTGAAATTTGTTAAAATTAGCTACGAAACTTGGTTATCCTATAAAGCGGCAAACATTACAATTCGTGGCTTCTCCGGGAACTCATGTACACCAATTGGTGAAATTACGGCTAGCATAAAATCCAGATTAAACGCGTTTAAAGCCAGTCTTCAGTTTTTTATAATGCAGAATGTGGCAGGTACACTACCTACAGTATATCCCGAAGAAAACATAATGAAGGTGATTAACAGCAAAGAATACGCAGATCCGGATGTATGTTCAACGCGGAAAATCGATATGATTGTGGGAACTCAAGTGTTCTTTCGACTTCTATGTGTTGGACAAATTAGACCCGCAGGCACTGATGCCATTTGGCAAGAAACAGTTTTTGGTTGGATTTTGTCAGGGCATATAACTTCTACAAACCCAATGTACTGTTTGTCGGCGACAGCAAGCACATTCGATCCAATCCAAAGGCAAGTTTAAAAATTCTGGGAGCTAGAAGAGGTTGTACGGTCGTCGCCAGTTCAAGGGTTTTCAACGGAAGAAAAAAGATGTGAAGAACATTTTCTAAACACCTATCGGAGAGAGGAGAATGGTCGATTCACATTAGAA